ATATATATATATATATATATATATATATATTTATATATATATATTATCATGATAATATTATTATCCTATATTATTATAACATTGAATCTAATATGAACAGATGCCATCCTTTGTGTTTTACTGATGAACAATTTCTTTTTGTCTCGCTTATAAATTATTTAACATATTTTCACTCATGATAAAACGTATTTTTAACGGCAGTAAAGATGGGTCACACACAAATAAGCTCCTCATTTAGAAATGAGGCCTCGTGGTTTTTCATTTTTCAAAAGTGGGTCAATATAAAAAAAGATATAAATGATCTGTACTGACTTTCCAGAGTGTGTTCCTATGGCGACCACGGCTCCACTGGGATGGAAGTCTGCACAGTGTCCGTGTTCCTGAGGAGAGACAGAGCTGTCAATCATCCGTCCATCATTAATCCGTCCATCGTTCATCCGTCCATCAATCAATCATCGGTCCATCATTCATCCATCGTCCCGTATTCATCTGTCCATCATTCATCCGTCCAGCATTCATCAATCATCCATCCATCGTGCCGTATTCATCCGTCCATCATTCATCCATCGTCCCGTATTCATCCGTCCATCAATCATCCATCCATCGTCCCGTATTCATCCGTCCATCATTCATCCGTCCATCATTCATCCATCCACCCATCAATCATCCATCCATCGTCCAGCATTCATCCGTCCATCAATCATCCGTCCATCGTCCCACATTCATCCGTTAATCATCCCACATTCATCCGTTCATCGTCCTCTTACCTCCAGAGTGCGGCTCCATTGGAGACTGTGGTCCACGGAGCTCCAGACCAACACCAGCCGGTCCTGAGCGCACGTCAGGAACAAACCTCTGGACGGGTGAGAGGCCAAACCCCACAGCTCATCTGTGTGACCCTGAACACATCACGACACACACTGAAGACCCTGAACACATCAGACGCACACTGAAGACCCTGAACACATCAGACACACACTGAAGACCCTGAACACATCACGACATGCACTGAAGACCCTGAACACATCACGACATGCACTGAAGACCCTGAACACATCAGAGCGGTCTCACCTGGACCTCCACCTGGAAGCCGTCATTGAAGGTTCCTCTGAGGATGAAGTTACGGGACGTCCCGACCAGAAACTCGTCCCCCTTCCCCTCAGACACGGCTCTGATGGTTCCGTACTGATCCGGCACCTGGATACAAGCAGTCATGTGACCTCAGTCAGGCTACATACGTATTTTGTAACTCCTATTTTTAATCTTAGTCTTCTAATCATCAAGTTTTAACTTGAAATTTAGGATTTTTTACACAAATTGCAGCAAATAAAGAGCTGACAGTGTTTGTGTGTTACCGGTTTACTAGTACAGCTATCCTTATGAGGACCAACTTAAGTTTTAGACCTTCAGAGTGAGGACATTTTGGCTGGTTCTCACTTTGGGACAGATCTGTTTGAACGTTCACGTTAGAGTCAGGCTTAAGTTGTGATGGTGAAGGTTATGGTAAGGGGATGCATTATGTCAATGAGTGTCCTCACAAAGATAGAAGTACAAGGTTTAGTGTGTGTGTGACCTCGATGTCTCGATCAGCTCTCAGTTCGTGGTCCCACAGGATGATTTTTCGGTCTTTTCCTCCTCCGGTCAGCAGAGTGCCGCTCCTCATCTCACACACACAGAACACGCTGCCCTCATGAGCTTTCACCTGACGACTGATCTGAAACGCTGCACGCGCACACACACACACACGCACACACGTACTCTGATGAACTGAAGTCTTTATAAAGAGTGTGTGATGATTCAGAAACTAAAAGCTCATCTAAATATTTAGTCCACATGTTTCAGGACTCTGCTGAATGATTCTCTGTTTGAGTTGCAGTTCCAGCTCCAACCAGCAGGAAGCAGCAGATACACACAAAACACTTCCTGTTTATTCAGGTTTCTTTGTCTTCCTGTTTGAACAAACCTGCTGCTGAAGACTTTAAGACATTTTTCTTTTGCTCCGTTTGATACGGAATCTGTTTCTTACTTTAACTCTTTAATGTCTAACTGTGTGTAACATGAACTTTAACATGTTTGGTCTGAATCTCTTCTGTTATTGAAGCTTTCAGCAGTCTCAACGTTTAATTCTTTGCATGGCTGCTCTTCAAACCAGTTTAATAACTCTAAAACCATTACTGAAACTGGGAGTGTTGAATTGAGTTTATATCTGAGACAAAGTCAACAGGAGTCTGTCTGATATCTTTAGTTAATGAAACACGTTCTAGTGTAAATATCAAATGTTTCTTACCTGAGATGGAACAATTTAAAAAAGTGTTAAAATCTTCCAGTAAAGTGTCTAAATGTACACTAAAGGTAAATAATAAAAGTTATACAACGTCCCATGTTCATGTGATTTCTGATAAATACTGTTTATATTGATTAATTCACTGTGATACTATTATCTATATGTGGTGTCTCTGACCAATCACAGCTCTTGTTTTCTATACGTGGTTGTTTTGTTGTTTTGCTTTTTGTTCCCTTTTCTTACTTTGAATTGCATGTTTTTTACATTGTGTTGTAGTATTTTGCACAGACCCGAGGAAGACTAGTTTCTAACTTGGTAGTACTAATGAGGATTCCAGTGAAATAAAGTTAAATAAATACTCACCTCTGGGTCCCTTCCCAGTGGGGGTCTCAGCAGAGCTCCTGGTCCAGACCAGCAGGACCCCTCCAGAGTCTCCGGTCAGGATGTCTCCAGTACTAAGGAACGCCAGACACTGAACGAACTTCGGTTTCTCGTATTTCTTAAAACAGGACAGGAAACAGGGTTAGAGTTAGACCTGGACTAAAGACTGGGAATAGAGTTAACCCAGGACTACAGAGTTAAACCAGAACTACAGACCCAGACAAAAGAGTAAAACCATGACTACAGCCCAGTACTAGAGGGAGACCAGGACTACAGACTTAGAATACAGAGTAAAACCAGGACGAGAGACATGAATGAACTCGCCAGTATGTATTTCTTCTGTAAGATGAAGTTTCTTAGTCATTCAGGTCAGAGTCAACAACAGCTTTACCGTCCTTCCAGATATCAATAAATCAAAGTGATCAATAAAGGGGCGGATCCATCACAATCAATATGATGAGGTCCTAACCCAATGAACATAATAAAGATAATGTCTGATTCAGCTGCTGAGCTTTCATTTTTGATCTTTAATTATATTGGGGCGATTGTGGCTGAGTCGTAGAGTGGGTCATCCTTGTTGATGTGTCCTTGGGCAAGACACTTAAGCCCAAATGCTCCCGAAGGCTTTTCAATCGGTGAATGAATGTGTGTGAATGAACATGTTAAAGTAGTCAGAAGCTACAAGTACAAGTCTATTTACCATATATATATACACACAGGTGCTGGTCATATAATTAGAATATCATCAAAAAGTTCATTTATTTCACTAATTCCATTCAAAAAGTGAAACTTGTCTATTATATTCATTCATTACACACAGACTGATATATTTCAAATGTTTATTTCTTTTAATTTTGATGATTATAACTGACAACTAAGGAAAATCCCAAATTCAGTATCTCAGAAAATTAGAATATTGTGAAAAGGTTTAATATTGAAGACACCTGGTGCCACACTCTAATCAGCTAATTAACTCAAAACACCTGCAAAGGCCTTTAAATGGTCTCTCAGTCTAGTTCTGTAGGCTACACAATCATGGGGAAGACTGCTGACTTGACAGTTGTCCAAAAGACGACCATTGACACCTTGCACAAGGAGGGCAAGACACAAAAGGTCATTGCAAAAGAGGCTGGCTATTCACAGAGCTCTGTGTCCAAGCACATTAATAGAGAGGCGAAGGGAAGGAAAAGATGTGGTAGAAAAAAGTGTACAAGCAATAGGGATAACCGCACCCTGGAGAGGATTGTGAAACAAAACCCATTCAAAAATGTGGGGGAGATTCAGAAAGAGTGGACTGCAGCTGGAGTCAGTGCTTCAAGAACCACTACGCACAGA